GCTGCGAAGGCCTAACTACACCGTATTAATTAAACTAACGCGCTACAGAATAGGAACTTAACACTGTGGAGGGTGAATAGAACTAACACGCTACAGATAGAACTAAGCGTTCTTACAATGACATAACACTGATGCAGAATAGACTAACACTGTGGGCAGATAGAACTAACACTCTACAAAGATTAGAACAACACTCTACAGAATAGAACTAACTCTGTGCAGCATTAAACTAAACACTTTACAGAATAGAACTAACACTGTGCCCCAGATGTTAGAAACTAACACTCTACAGAATAGAACTAACATCTACAGATAGAACTAACATGTGCGAGATTAGAAACTAACACTTCTACAGAACGGAACTACATGACTTATGGTAGGTCTAATTGATGCTAACTAGAACTAACGTGCACTCATGGTATAACCTAGATGGATTACATAAGATTGACATGAATTTTCAATCAAAAACTAAACGTGTCTGTGAAATTAGTAATGCATGTTCTTACAAGAAAGAACACCGATTTACACTCCATGATCCTTTTGCGTATGCCTCCTGGCTAATCGTGTCCAACTGATTTTTCTTCACCTTGTGAATTGTTATGAAACATTTAAAATTCAATTTAAACAATATTAATTTGAATTATTAGGAAGTATATGTTAACCTTGTTCGTCAAGGCGGCCACCCAACGACAGCACATATAAACAACTCTTCCCTGTTTAATACTGCTTGGTTTGTTACTATACATTATATCTCCTTGGTATAATTAGAACTAACATGAATTAGAAACTAATTATGGTGGAGATTAGCATATATAGCTCACTGAAATTACTTGTGAATCTTCTGAGAACAAATTTGGTTAAGACTTCTCAATTTCCAGCTTTTGTCGAGTCTTTCTGCTACGAGAATGTTATCTTTAATTATGTACAAAAGCACTTGCTGTGCTATCTATTATGCGTAAGTTAAACAAATGTAGGGTCTGGAAGCTCATTATTCAGCTCTCCCAATAGAGCTTCCTCTTCATCTGTCATTGGCTTTATACTCAACGCATCAAAAGTGGGGATTTGAATACCGGAGTAAAAATGAGTAACTTTTTCAGCTAGTTTTACTTTTGGTTCAGGACTTTCAAGTATATCTATACTAATTTTTTCCTTTTTCTTTCTTTTGCCTTCAGTATATGGTGTCCTCTTCCATTTAGATCTCCTGCTTACCCTTTTTGCCTTTGGTCTACGCTTTGCTTTCACATTGCTCGTTAGAACATCTACAAGTTTGTCCACATCATGTTCAATATTCACAAGATCCTCTTCCTCCTGTGCTTCCAACTTATCTACATTCTCCTTGCCTTTATCTACAATATCTTCCTCCTTATCTACACCATCAACAGTATCCTCATCAAAACCTTTGTTATCTACAATAAAATTTTCATTTTCCATATGCTCCTCTTCCTTATCTACCATACGCTCCTCTTCATTATCTACAATATCTTCCATATGCTCCTCTTCCTTATCTACCATATGCTCCTCTTCCATATCTACAATATGTTCCATATGCTCCTCTTCCTTATTTACACTATCCTTAACCTTAGTATCTACAGTTTGGTCAACCTTACTATATACCCCCTCCCCTGGAGAAGTAACTGGCTCCTCTTCTATTGCCTCATCGTCAGCAGGATGGTTTACATCCTCCTCAACAATCTTATGTATATGTTCTTGACTGGTGGACTCTTCCTTATATACACTGCTTGTTTTGGACTTCTGTTCCTCTTGAGCTCCCTGTCGCTTCTTCCTAATTTCATTTGCAATTTTCTGTTTGATATTTGACTTAAGCAGCACTGGGTCTATAACCTCATCATGTCTTCCACATTTTTCAATTATCCTGTTAAGCCTGTTGATCTCAATCATGAATTCTTTACAATAATTGCTCTTGGTCTGCTTTGTAGCATCAAGAAGTCGCTTGAGAAATTTAGCAGAATTTCTCCAAAATGTGAGTTGCTGCTCAATGGGAAGAACATTGATCTCCTCTTCATCGTCAAAAGCAACGTCAATATGCTTTGCCATGATCTGTTATTGATACAAGATTATAATTTTAAGTAGGATTAAACATAATTAGGATATTCTTTGCAGTTAGTGTGAAATGAGTACGACTTAACATAACAGGATACTTACGTAACCTATTGAGAAGTTCTTAGTAGTTTCTTCCTGCAAAGTCTTCCTCTTTGCCTGACGCTTTTGCTGAAGAACTTCATCCCTTTGTTCAGCGGGAAGTGGATGAACATGACCAGGAGAAGCGACCTCCGCAATAGGCCTATGGACAAATGTTGTTGACGCTGACTTAGCCTTTGAAATAATTGTCGGCATCCTCATAGATGCGATTCTCTCCTCCCCTAATGCCCAATTTGTCATTGGAGGTCTGGAGGTGTCTAAGAGGGCATATTTCTTTATGCCTGTCATCTCGTAGTACCAAAGCTGTACCAAATAATATATTTACCATTAACATTTAATACTAGACTAGACTAAAGAGAATAAAATATGGCTGCATCTAGAACTAACATGGTGTAAATTAGTACGTGGTACGACATGAATTATGATAGAACTAACATGACCTATGATAGAACTTAAATGGGTGCAGATAGAACTAACACTCTACAGAATAGAACTAACACTGTGCAGATTAGAACTAACACTCTACAGAATAGAACTAACACTGTGCAGATTAGAACTAACACTCTACAGAATAGAACTAACACTGTGCAGATTAGAACTAACACTCTACAGAATAGAACTAACACTGTGCAGATTAGAACTAACACTCTACAGAATAGAACTAACACTGTGCAGATTAGAACTAACACTCTACAGAATAGAACTAACACTGTGCAGATTAGAACTAACACTCTACAGAATAGAACTAACACTGTGCAGATTAGAACTAACACTCTACAGAATAGAACTAACACTGTGCAGATTAGAACTAACACGCTACAGAATAGAACTAACATAGAATAAGTTAGAACTAACAATGCATAGGTACGAATTAGAATGAAACAAGATCAGTAAAATATGGAACTTACACACAATAGTGTCATGCAACCTGGGACATATGCGACCTTTTGCTTCTTCTTTCCCTCCAAAGCAACTCCAATGCCCCTGATAATTTCATTATAAAAGAACGGGGCCCATGCAACAGAATTGACCCTCTGAATGCTATCCAGGTACCTGAGTAAGGGTCTAGGGATACCTTCCCCTGCTATGGGACTCCATATCATAGAGCATTGGTACAAAATTTGTAGCAGAGCAAAATCCTCGATATCCCGCTTTTTGGTAGATTCAACAAGCCGTTCAAGTAGCCCTTCAAGATGTTTACGTTGGCTGGTTTCTGCTTTTTTTAACTTCTTACCCTCTTCAGAAATAAAAAGCTTAGAGAAGTATTCCAGCCATATTCTGCTTCTTGAGTCCCTATTGTTCCTTATGTCCTCCCCATAAATTGGGAAATAAGTATGGTTGTGGACCCATTGCAAATCAAAACTAACATTTTTCATACCCCCACTTTTTGAATCAGGTATACAAAAGGTGTTATTATCTCTATCGAAAAAGCTCAGCAGCAGCTCAAGGGTGGGCCGATCAGGCGCAGGAGCCCCAAACAAAATGTAGTGCTGAAATATAGAACCGCAGTATGCATCCCTATGCCACTGACGGATCTTCGGGGCAAGGCGCTTCATAAATGCCCAATAAGCCCCGATATTGGCCGTTAACCTTAGTGTTTCTGCTGAGCCTGTTAGAGCAATTTTTTTCCTGCAAAAAATTTTCGAATTTGTACGTTCAATAAGACATATGAAACAATATTAGACCTAGCACTAACGGGAACAAAATAGAGCTAACACGTAATATTATAGAACTAACATTGGACTCATATTAGAACTAACATTGGACTTAAACTAGATCTAACGTTGGTATAAATTTAGAACTAACATTGGACAAAGCCTAGAACTAACAATATTAGACCTAGCACTAACGGGAACAAAATAGAGCTAACACGTAATATTATAGAACTAACATTGGACTCAAATTAGAGATAACATTGGACTTAAACTAGAACTAACGTTGGTCTCAAACATTGGACAAAGCTTAGAACTAACAATATTGGGTTAATCTGCATTGTCTGTTCGCAGTATAACATAATACTTACTGTTTTTTTAAGGGGGATTCGTTGGTACGACCAGTCATTGTCGTTCTCCTTTTTCTGGTCTCGCTATTGTAATGCCTCCTTTTGCATTTCAATTAGGGTTTTCGTAGCTTCCTCCGTGCTGCCACCCGCAGATGAAGCGCCTTTTCCTTCCAACTCGGCTCGGTGCCCGACCTCGTAGTCGTTACTGGATTCTTCCGTAGACGACATTTTTTCGGCGAAAACCCTAGAAACGTTGAAATCCGTACAGAAATTAGGAAGACGAAGAGTTTTTGATGGCGGTGCTAGGTGGAAGAGAGAGAAAGAGAGGGAGAGTACTTGTAAAGGTGAGGGGCACATTAACCCAGCTCAGTCCCATCAGAGGGCAAGATTGTAACTTCCTCTGGCTTTTTCTGAAAAAAGTCAAATCGGGACCTCGTCGCAAATACTATGCGTATTTGGGGCTATTCCACATGGGGCAAAGTACAGGGGGGCTAGTCATACGAAGTTCCCACTTTTGGGGCATGGACACATTTTTCCCTAATAATTTTTTTGTTTTTTTTTTGTTGATAGTAAGTACGTTCACTTTGATCGACGATCTTACTTAGATCAATAAACATAATTTGTATATCCTCGCTGTCACGCTAAAGAGCTAATTGTTGGTCATGTTCTTCTACTTCTCTAGCTCGCAATTCTAATTTTATTGTTTCATTTTCAAGTTTCATTATCATCAATCACTCTAATTTTCCCCTGCTCATTTCACGTTTAGCATCCATCTCTTGCATACTCTTAATAATTCCCTCCTCAGAACTAAACTCCGCCGACTTTTTTCTCTTTGTATCTACTTCTTTCTTCCAACAGGCTGACTTGCTGGGCTGTCTGTGGGAGACTGGCCATCTCTCGTGTTCATAAAACTTTCACTCTCCGTGTTGAGATCCATAATGTCCTCTGTTGCATTAGGCCGACTTTGCGTGTTTGATTCTGATCCTTCAGAGATGCTCCAAGCTGCAGCATGATTGGATTTAGGGTCAGCCCATTTCTCGGCATCCTTGAGGATCGTCCAAACATGATCGAACTGAAATCCTTTCCTTTCTTTAACATCTTCTCCGTACATGATTCTAGCTTGAGTCAACTAACAAAATTACAAAAAAAAATTTAGACAGTTGAAAATGATATTATAAAATCCATAGTAAAATTATATACTTACTATATCGAGTTCAGAAGCTCCGCTCGGATTCAATCGCTCGATTTGTCAAACACAACCCTAAAATTTGTTTCCTACCTTCTTAATTGTGTCCATACGACATTCTAGAGACCTTGGTGTTTGTGGTCTATCACCTTCCTTTTTATGGAATACTGCTGTGATCCTTTCCCACATCTTATCTTTCTTTTGACATGTGCCTAAGACTGGGTCTTGAGAAATTTCAAGCCATGCCAAGCACATGAATTGATCTTCTTGGTTACTGAATGATTGTCCTCGAACAGATGTCACAGTGGATGAAGAAAGATTGGTGGACAAAAGTAGTTGACTAAATAAATCAGAAAGAAAGGATGGAAGTGTGACCATATGGGATAAGAGCTACCATTATTTATAATACAAGTCTCCCAATAAGAGGTGATGGTGGGAATTTGGTGATTGCAAGAAGACAAACACAGGACTCGATATTAACACGACCTGACATGGATCTTGGAAACATCACCTGACAAGAGGTGATGGTGAGAATTTGGTGATTTTGCAAGAAGACAAATACGGGACTTGATATTGACATGACCGGACATAGATCTTGGAAACATCACCCGATAATAGGTGATGGTGGGAATCTGGTGATTGCAAGAAGACAAACACGGAACTCGATATTAACACGACTGGACAGGGATCTTGGAAACATCACCCGACAAGAGGTGATGGTGGGAATCTGGTGATTGCAAGAAGATAAACACGAGACTCGATATTGACATGATCGGACAAGGATCTTGGAAACATCACCCGACAAGAGGTGATGGTGGAAATTTGGTGATTTCAAGAAGACAAACACGAGACTCGATATTGACACAACCGAACATGGATCTTTCACAACTCTTTATTAATATGAACTCTAAATGCAAAACTTAATATTTCACAACTCTTTTCTCTCAATACAATAAAATATGAGCTTTGGAGAAGGGCCATCTTGGAACCACTATTCTTCTTCCTCCGATGGAGAGACCCTCGATCTTTGCTTTGAAGACTGGGAGAATGAACTGGCTGAGCAGGAGGTGCGAGATGAAGTCTTGAAGAAAATATTGGCTCGTCGTCTTCAAAAGAGTAGAGAACGAAAACATAAAGAATCGATTCCTGGTCATGTGGTGATCAATCGTGGAAGAGAAGAAGGTAACTCGCGACTTTGACATGATTATTTTTGTGAGAAACCCACATATAGGGATGCTCTTTTTCATAGAAGGTTTCGATGTCGACGAGATCTATTCATTCGCATTGTCAACGGAGTAAAAGAGCACGACAACTACTTTTGAAGATCTCGATGAGACCTTTTCAAATATATAATTATTTTAAAAATTAGATTAATAATTTTTAACTATATTTATTTGAAATTAAACATCTAATTTAAATTACTAAGAATGATGGCAAAGTAGTAAATTTCATGAAATTAAATAGTTGAAAGTGCCAAAGTTGTAAATAATAAAAGTTTGAATAGTGATTGGAGAGGATTATCTCTCTAAAATTGGAGGGATGTAGATTTTGCCGAGTGATTGGAGATGCTCTTAGTTTTGCGGTGTATCAAAAAAAAGAAAAAAAAAACCCTTAAGTTTGGGATTTTTCCCACAAACCCCCCTAATTTTGTTAGATGAAATAGTGACAAGTCCAAATCACCCTTTTCAAATTATAATTCTAATCATTAAATTAAACTTAATTATTTAATTATAATTGAATTAATAAATCCATAATCTTTAAACTAACCCTAACTCCAATTAGAGAGAGCGATGGCCACCACCGGTGGCCCCTACGTCAGTGGTCGTTGGCGTAGTGGACGCAGATCGCCATAGAAAGAGGGAGAGAAAGGGAGAGGAGGGGGCCGCTGACGTCTCCATCGGTGGTGTCGTTGGCCAATCCCACCCCTCTCCCGCCAGCAATTAGGGAGGTTTTTCTGAGAAAACCTAAGAAGAGGTTTTATGATAGTGCTAAACTTAAGGGGGTTTTCTGGCAATCATCCAAACTTAGGGGGTTTTCTGATATTAAGCCTTTTTATGCTCTCTTAATTGAGTGGTGTTAGGGGCACACCTCTCACCACACCACCAACCACACCCCCCTCTCCCATTGCTACAGTAAAGCGGGCCCCACATAGGATTTTAAAAATTTTAAAATCTCATGTGGGGCCCGATTTACTGTAGCGATTGGAGAGGGGGGTGTGGTTGGTGGTGTGTTAGGGGGTGTGCCCCTAACATTATTTCTCTTAATTATAGCCAAATTTCAATATCCGTACAAGAACATTAATTAAACCTCGTGACAACTGGTCTCATTTGAAAGCCAAAGGCACCTAAGACTATCTCCAGCAGGGGTTTTTTTGGGGGGTTTTTGGCTCCAGCAGGGGGTTTTTGGAGGGGTGAATTGGAAAACCGAAATCGGATGGGTGAATTTTTCACCTCCGGTTTTTCTAACCTCATGGGTCCCGCGAATTGTCCTTAGCCCATGCTTGGAGCCATGTGTCAAGGCTTGGTTGGTTGGCCTTTTTTGTTTTATTCCTAATTTTTAAATGATATTTTGGGAGATAAATACTAGGAATTAATTTATAATTTTTATATCAATAATTTTTATTTTTTCACCTCTATAAATAGAGATTAGTCTTGTGTAATTTGGACACCAAAAAAAATCTGAGTTTTCAACACCTTATTCTCCTTCTATTTTTTGTTAGTATAAAAATATTATCAAAAATTAAATTAATAATATATATTATTTATGTAAATATTAAAAAATTATAATTATAAATAAATGAGTTATATTAGTAATAATAATAGTAGTAGTAGTAATATATATGAAATAAGAAAAAGAAATGAATAAATAAGGTGGGGTATATATGTTGGAGTGATGGGGTTATAGTGGGTCCCAAATAAAGTAAAAATCTTTTGAAAAAACTCCTGCTGTAGAGATGATAGAAAATGAAGATTGTTGAATTATGTGGAGGGGGAATAAAGTGATGTGGCAGGAGAGAGAAGGTTAAAATTTCGACTCCTGCTGGAGATAGTCTAACCGTTCCTCCACTCCGGTATAGCCACGTGGCATGACAACAAATTTCTTTTCTCGCATGACGATAAATAAATGAGACCGAATCCTGTTTGTTTAGTCGCATTCACACTTCAAAAAATCCCAATTAGGAACCATCCCGTTCAACGAAATCCAAAGCCGTCCGTTCCTCTAAGCCAACGGTCTGGATCGAGATACTAGAAGCTTCCCTAGGTTAAGAGCCGCTATATAAACGTTATGAGATCTTTCGACTGAGAGCGTGGTTTGCTCGTGCCTCCTCCTCCTCCTTTCAAACTAGGGTTTAAGGTGAGAAAAAAAAAATAGCGCATTTGTCTTTTTGATCTAAAAATTTTGCCGATCTAAAGATTTTCATCCGATTTCGCAGTTCGATCGTCAACTGCTTCAATGGGGAAATCGTACCCAAAGGTCAGCGATGAGTACTTGACGGCCGTGGAGAAGTGCAAGAGGAAGCTCCGTGGATTGATCGCGGAGAAGAACTGCGCTCCTCTGATGCTTCGTATTGCGTAAGATCTCGACGCTCCGATCGATCTGCGATTTTTTCGATAATTTTCGCTTAATTTTTTAAGGTTTTTGTTTGATTTAGGTGGCATTCCGCTGGGACCTACGATGTGAAGTCAAAGACTGGAGGTCCTTTTGGTACGATGAGGCACAAGGCCGAGCTGGATCACGGCGCCAACAACGGGCTCGATATCGCTGTGAGGCTCTTGGAACCGATCAAGGAGCAGTTCCCGATCTTGTCTTATGGTGATTTCTATCAGGTGAAATTTCTATACCTAGATCTAGATCTGCGCTTTTCAGGGGAATATTTGAATATTTTCTGCGATTAATTCGTTCGTGAGCTGTTTGAGGATCGACAATTTAGATTGACGATCGCTGTTATTTGAGCTTATGTATAGAAACTGTGATTATTTGTTTTTACAATAGGATTAGGTTCATGTAGCAGATGTCAAGCAGCTAATGATTAATTTGACTTGTTTATTGTAGGAATTTTCGTCCTCAATTAACTTCGTTTCTAGCCTATAAAAAAAAAATTAGGAAGAGTTTAATTCTCAGGCAACATTGGCTAGTCCTACCTTTTGTGAAATTCTCCATATTGGCATTCATGTGTGCATTATAATTGGAAGACTGGAAAATGAAAGAAGAGACAACATTAGAGGGTTTAGTGGATTGCCAAGCTTGCAGTCGCCTTTAGCAAGGTCTGTATTGCCTGGACTCTGACAATCCGTCCCCTTTGACCTTGTCTCGAGGTCAAAAGAGGAAAGCCTTCTCACCAGTAGCTCTCTCAACTATTATGTTATTACTACAACTTGATTATAGGATCCAAGAGACTAAAGAATTTATAATCTTAAGTGGTTAGCAACCTTCTATTCAAGGTGGCTTCAGTATCTTTAACAATTTCTTCAACATAGCTAGGTGGTTGTACATGGAGGAGAACTCCAGTATCAGTCTGATACATTACATGCACTTTTTGATGGTGTATTGTGTGCCTTCCATGATATTTTACTAACCCTTTCTAGCAATGCAACTCGTGCCCGTAGGATCAAAGACTGGGACGTTTTCTATTCCCTCCTGAAAACTGTATGTCCAATGTCAATCAGCGAACTGTTATTCCCATCATATCTATAGACTTGTGTAAGTTGTCTTTCAAAAATGCCACCAACCAGTGACTTCTTCTTGGACATTATGACCCCCTTAGGATGGACAAATCGAATTACCCTAATGTCTTTAACATGCAAAAAATCTATTGCACTTGTTTAATTAAAGTCTGCTAATTTTCTGCACTAGTCAAGCCTTAAGATATGGGATGGAATGATTTGTTGTGTCTAAGAGGAGTGTTCTGATTATTCACAATAATAGTTACATGGTTCGCGGTATGTAGCGGGTCATCGTACGAATTCGGGTACGCAATTCGAGGCTTAAACGATACGCAAGTTCGATATAGGATACAATGTAATTTTTTTGGGTGCGCTTATAATTTTTCAAAGTGTATAGTAGAAAATTAGAAACTAGAAAACTAATTATGCATTTCAATATTTTTGCATATAAAATACTTCAATACTTTATTTTTTATAGTTTATGAATACATAAAATTTAAACTATTAATATTAGACAACCTCTTAATAATTTTTTTTTATTTTGCAACTTTCTTCCCTTTTAACATCAAGTGCATCTTCTGCTAATTTCGAGTCCAAACAATTCGATCTAACTCCTCCAACTTACATGAAGAGTCCTCCAAGTTATCATTATTGTGATCTATATCTCATCCTTTATATGACCACTTTGTAACTCTAACAAAATCATGACATGAGGCTAATGTTTGAATGGATGAATACTTAGCCGCCCGTCCACTATTCAATCTATTCATTTTCACACTATGTATGTGGGAAAAAGTATTCCAATTTCTCTTAGGGCCCGTTTGGATAATGGAAGTATTGGAAGTAAGAAGTAGGTTATAGAAGTAACTTTCAAAACTATGAAGTAGGAAGTAGTGAAAATAACATTTTTTTTGTTTGTTTTATATATTTTTAGAAGTAATGGAAGTAGAACTTCTTTCTCTTCATTTACTTTTTTGTTTAGATAATATTTGGAAATATTACTAGAAAGTAACTAACACATGTTGCTTCCATAATTTCAAAGTCACGTCACGCTCTTTAATTTGATCTAGCACGTTACAATCAGTTTCATGCCGCTATGACCCCTCACCACTTAAGAGCAAGAAGAATCCTTCAACCACATAGCTTCAAAATAATTGTTTACCTCTCACCTACGATGAGACTCCGGATGATCATAAATTCCTATGAATTTCCAATTTTCCTCCTCCCTCGCTCCTTTGATTGTAACATCAACGTGATATTTAGACAAAGAATTAATAGACAAACTGTTCTCTTCATCCCAAAGAAGAGCTGGCCGACGACCATCACAAATTATTATAAAATAATTATTAAATTTAAGAGCAATTTTATCAATAAAAAGTTGTTAGAAGTAACTAATAAAGAAAATATTAATAAAAAAATATTTATTTCCTAGTTAAATTTTTATTTCATAATTAATATGCATTTTAAATACTTCCGAGCTAATTCTGAGTATTGATGATTGGAAAAATATTTTGGAAGTAAGGATGAGACGTAGACGCCACATAAGCGTTTAAGGAAGTATTGAAAGTAAGTTTTTCAGAGAACCAAACACATTTTTTTGCTTGGAAGTAACAGAAGTAGCATATACTTCTTTTACTTCAGCTACTTTATAATTACTTCCGTTCAAACAAACATGCCCTTAGTTGGAGAGTTACTAATAGGCCGAGACAAAATCTTCTTAGCAACATTAGTTAAAGAAATAGTGATATAGAATTAGTTATTAACTTTGGATAACTTCCACTTACTGAAAGAATGCTTTCAATAATATTATCGAAACATATAAATAAATCCAAGCGCATGTGCATGACAATAGACTTGTAAATCAACTTTGGTCCCCTCCTACTTAGTAAGTGATACGCTACTTTTGAGGAACCAATTTGTGTATCGGAGGGAATTGGTTTGTAAATGTATCTGAATTGGTTTGCATGAACTGTTCAACAGTTCGAGGGGGGTCCAGGGAATCTTCTCTTGGTTGTAGTCTTGAGGACTCCATCTTCTTACTTCTTTATCACTTATCTCCTTGATCAATGATTGTTCACTAAGGATTGAAGCTCTTGCATCTTAATTGAAATTTTGTCCAGTTCACGAGCTTTCTCAACCTTTTTCAGATTGGACTCGTATCTATAAATTCTTTTTGGTATTGGCTTGCAGATCCCGAATTTCATCGTGTTTTTGTGCTAATTGTGAGTGGTTTTTTTAACCTCGGCAAACCATTCCTGTCCTACCTTTTCCAAAGGAAGAGTTCTAAAGATTGTATCCTCACATTTGATGAAGGGAATTTACGTAGATTTTTATTTAGTTGGAGTTTCTTTGGATTATTTTGTGATTCCAACAGGGAAGACTGGCCTTCTATTTTATAGGCTAGTCAAATACTACAAGTTTCTGTTAGATAGAATCAATTTGGTTGTTGAAGCCACAGCCGTTGCAAATGGTTGATTCATGTTTTCTAATGTCATTTTCTATCACCATTATTATATGCTGGATGCCCCCTTTTCAAAATTCATATTTGCCTTACGATCGAATTATTAAAATATGAACTAATAGATGGACTTCCCCCATTCCCTTCACTCAATTATGAAGCTCTTAATGATCATCATTGTCAGTGGACCATCAAGCTCTTTTTAAGCACGGAAATTGAGGACCATTGTGGCTTTAAGAACCTGACTATTAATTATTTTTGTTTTACTTAACCTAATTATTTCTTGGAAGAAAGTCAGCGTTTATACTTTAAATGGTGATCCATTATTAACAAATAGTTATTTGTTTGATACTTTGTATCTTTCTGTTATTTTCGAACAATAATATTTTAGTTGTAAATGTTGACTTTTACTTTTAATTAACCAAAATTTTGTGAATTCAGCTTGCTGGAGTTGTTGCTGTGGAAGTAACAGGTGGACCTGAGGTTCCCTTCCATCCTGGCCGCGAGGTATTTAATCAATTATCTGTGTATTAGCTTAAATATTGCATTTTGATTGTTAGATATGCTTGAATATACATGGAAATAATTATTTGACGTCGAAAACTTATGATTGTGGCAAGTTTTTCTTTAAAGCCGAGAGGCTATTTTTATAAGTCTAAATCACACCCGAGATTTATCTCTTATTTCCTTCTCCCGCTCATTTTGATGCGAATTCTCTTTAAATAGACGGGTGTTCTTCTTTCTATTTGATGAGATTATGTCAAGCAGTTCTTTGGTTCTGAATTATGTCAATTTTTTATTTAGAGGTAGACTGGGCAGCCTATGACACTAAACCTTAGCATGGATTTACACAGATGTCCATAAGAATGTTACTTGAACTTAACGGCAAAGTTGTAATTGCAGATAATGTTCACTTTAGTATTCAAATGCGCGCTAGAAGCTCATTTATTTTACTCCTTGTGGTCATTGAATCATATGTTACCATACCCATCTTTGATTAAGGCACTTTGTAGTTAGGCTTAATGTTCTGGTTGTTATTTCTGTTCTTTGATTGAAATAATAAGCATGAAAATTTGATTACAGGTGCTTATATTAATTTCTTCTTTGTTTGGAAATTTTATATTTTCATGAGTGGATATAGGCACATTGTATTATTGTTTGAACAAGGATCGTCATGGAATCACTCAATCGCATTTTTATTTCGATTTAATCCTTTGTTGGTTGATGCTTTAAGTGGTTAAATGTCTAAAGTTGTTGTTGGGTTATTTGAACAAAAATCATCGTGGAATCTTTCAAATCACTCTTTTTTTTTTCAAAATTAATCATTTGTTGGATTGATGCTTGAAGTGGAGATAAATGCTGAAAATAATGTTGGGTTTATGATTTCCCACATGAGCAGTGTTCAGGTTGCTTATTGCAATATCTAATGCTAGCTTTTATCCCTTTGCACTAGTTACAGTAATGTCTGCTATGTCTGCTGTTGGCTTGTTGTATATCCTCGTATTGATTTTGTTTCATTTATATCCATCAGGACAAGCCCGAGCCCCCTATGGAAGGTCGTCTTCCTGATGCCACCAAAGGTATTGTGTTCTATCACTTGTTAGATCTATGTTTGCTTTTGACATCATGAATGCTATGTAGTCTACTCTATTTCGTTCATGTTGCTGGTTCTCTGTGACTTGACTGGTTCTTAATGCTATTAGTATCATACTTCTATTCATTATTTTCTTTGCCTTTTCATTTGAATTGATCTTTTACACATTTTTTAAAATAACTTGTTTATTTTTTAATGCTATTATCTTCTACATTATCCTTTTACTGATGTATTATTCTGTTTATTGTTTTTGCTTAAAAATGGTAACTTCTTTGCTTGTAGCCATTATGATAAATATGCTAATTTTTAAGACACCTTTTTAGGGCATTTGGATTTGGAATTGAGTATGTATATAAACAGTTCCATGGTATTATTATTAGTATTATTATACTGTTCCGAATTTCTACATACTCTTTGTTCATAATCGGATTAAATTACTGTTTATCATTGTTTTAATTTTTTAAAACTTTTTGTGATCAATTAACATCATTTTGATACATATGCTTTTATTGGCATGTTCTTATGGCTCATTAAATGTATATGGCATGCTGTCTTTGTGATTCATTGAACATCATATGCCATGAAAATGTTGTCTTTGTGATTCATTGAACATCGAATGCCATGTTTCATGTTGGTGTTAAAATATGATGTTGCACACAATATGCCTCTTAGTTTTGTCAACTTACTCACTATGAAGCACAGACACGCATAACATGAAGCCGTGTCGTGTCGTGTCCGTGTCGGACACACGTGTCGAACACACGTATCCTATGTATTTTTTAGGATTTGCCTCGTGTCGGCGTGTCAGATGGCCGTGTCGGATCCGTGTCCGTGCTACATAGCTATTTTTTAGGATTTGCCTCGTGTCGGCGTGTCAGATGGCCGTGTCGGATCCGTGTCCGTGCTACATAGCTTACTCATGATGATACCTAAGCTGCAGACTGTGTTTATACCTTTTAGAATTTCTTATTTTTATTGATGAAGCAGTATAGATTTCTAGCTTAATAATTAAGCATTTGAATGCATATATCAGCTGCCTGAATAAAGATGCCTCGTCTTTCTTCGTATCCTATAAGATAATCTCAATCTCGTGTAGTTGTTGAGGGACAGACCTATTTTTGCCATTCAAAACGTTTTCCGTTGGTACTGAATTTAACTAGGTAATGTCCATCTCGGAAACTTCTAATTTGAAAACAGAATAATTGTTTACCTTTTTTCTTCCTATTTTTGTTATGTCAGGTTGTGATCACCTTAGGACAGTCTTTAGTGAGCAAATGGGTTTGAGCGACCAGGATATTGTTGCTCTGTCTGGAGGTCATACTCTGGTGTGTATGATTAATTGTGTAAATATACATTAAATCTTGGGTTAATTACAAGCTGGTACCTTGAGGTATGGTGTAATTACACCAATGATCTTGGAGTCTGGGTATCTACAAGGGTAACCTAAGTGTATTTACACAGATAACCCTGGAAATTGCTTGTGGTTCGGGTTCCAGGGTCACCTGTGTAATTACAATTACAAATCCAAGGTCATCCGTGTAGATATGCAGACGCAAGGTCACCCATGTAGTTACCCTTTATCTCAGGGTACCAGAATGTAATTAATCATTATTTCTTTGTAAAAGATACACTCATATTTTTCCACTAATTTAACAGGGCAGGTGCCACAAGGAGAGGTCAGGCTTTGAGGGTGCTTGGACTTCAAATCCTCTCATCTTTGACAACTCTTATTTCAAGTCAGATTCCTCTTTCTTATTCTTGCATGTTTTTTGTTTCGCAAGTTTTATTGCGTTGGGGTTTTAATCTTCTATGCTTGTGTATTGTCAATGTTATTGCAACAGGGAGCTTCTGAGTGGGGAGAAGGCCGGCCTTCTTCAGCTGCCGTCCGACAAGGCTCTTCTCTCTGATCCTGGCTTCCGCCCACTTGTTGAGAAATATGCTGCAGTATGTTCCATTCCGAACATCAACGAGAAATGTTACTTCATGCATCGTATTTCTTGTTATTAACAATTTTTTCTCTGGTTTCTTACTTGTAGGACGAGGATGCTTTCTTTGCTGACTATGCCGAGGCTCATATGAAGCTCTCTGAGCTAGGGTATGCAGTGACAAATCATTTACTCAGGATTAAGGGTTTTATCTCGTCACGCTTTTTCTTCTCCGAACTTATCCTTGTTACTTGCTGTGTTGCTAGGTTTGCTGAAGCTTAAGGTAATGAATCCGACATCAGGTGAAGGGTCTTCATGCTTGTTGCTTCTCTCGGCAAATTCTAGGATGTCAGTTTGGGGAATGAAGCAGAATTGGTATCAGAACACTATGTGTAATAATTAAGATCTTATTTTTGCCAGCTAGCCTTCATTCTGTTTTGTTGATACTCTGAAGTCTGTTATTGCCATTATCCTAGGTTACTGCTTATGTTACTAAGTTTAGCTTTTCCCTTTCGTTGCGGCGTCTGATTCTGTTTGCTGGATTATACTGTGCTTGCCCTTTAATAAGTTTAGCTTCCCTTTCATTGCCGGTGTCTGGATCTGTTTGCTGCGAAATACTGTGCTTGCCCTTTGCTACTGGTGTTACCCGTTCATTTTAGACTGGGCAAGTCCTTAGGTCGAAGTAGGGGTCCGTAGACAAGACAAGCTATTCATTACGAAGAAATATTCATTTGATGCTGGTTTGTGTTCTTCAATGAGCTTGGAATAATCATGAGGTAATTAATACCTGTACGTGTTACTCGACTTTTTTGTGATAATACATGGTAACAGACTAATAATGGCCATAAGCATCGGGTCATGATAGTCTAACCCAGTAGGTTGTCACTTTGATGCTCGGCGCAGTACAGAACGTCAAGGAATCTAGTCAGTTCAGGAACAAAGAACCATACGATGAGTCCAACAATGTAGATAAGCTGGGTGATAGGAGGTGGAGCCAGCGGAGGAACCAGGGCCCCCATTTCTAGGTCCGTTGTCGATATTCTCCGAAATTGCGGGGAGAATTGGACGTCGTAATTTATATCCTGAATTTATGATTGAGGCGCATGTTCATTGGTTGAGAACTCGGACAGCCATTTGCAAGCGTATTTCTCTAGTTCTGTTTCAAATTCATGATCAGCGCGGCGATAGCATTCCCTAGCACCGTATTAAAATTTCGGAAGATGCGGTGAGAGTTGCAAGTCACAATTTAATAAAAATTACGGGGTGAAGGTGAGACATACCTCTTCGGTTGTGACATTACTCCTTGCAGAGATTGCTCTTTTCAAGTCATCAGATCAGATTGGATATGCGTCTATTGCTTGTAGGAGAAGCAGAGATGGAGCATTTCATGTGAGTTTTCACTTTTCATGGCTTCCTTAGCTTGATGGTCAAGTTCGCGCTTGCCTATAAATTGGTCGAGGGATGCATCTTTTCTTAAAACACGAGGAGCTGACATGCGTGTTTTTGTTTCGAGGGCCAGTGTGAACGCGTCGACCCGAGGTTTGAGTAACGATGTTCTGATCGAAGCGAAACACTTTGTAGCAGGCGGTTTGGACCTTTCATTGCCTTCCTGTTGCCACTCAGAACTCTTGTGACATGTGAGATGGTTAATTGAATTTGATGGTTGGTGGGCGGCTGATGACTAGCAACAGTGATTGAATTCGTACGTTGGGTGTGTGAAGAACATTTGTTCTCTTTGATTTGGCGTAATGACTCGTCTAACTACGAATCAAAAACTTGTATTATTTTTATATAAAAAAGGATCATACGCTAGCAGGAGAAGCATGCCAAAGATTCCCATGGTTCATTAATTGTTGGCATCTTTGGACTGATGTTCTTCAAGCTGCTCTCTCTCCGTCCCCTTTGTTAATTATTCGTTTGAAGAATGTCTCTAATCTTAAAAAAAAAAAAAAGGATTAGGGGTTTGGAGAAGCTAGCATGGGGATATGTTTAGTAATTTAAAGAGACAAGGAATCATACTGCTTTTTGACTTGGACGGCCAAAGGAGAGCAGCACATGGCTGCCTATATCCATATTTGTTTTGGACTCCTCCTTTGTACATCAGGTGTTCAATCTTTCAATTCACACCAAAAAGCTCAAGCGCTAATGTAGGCATGCATAATGATAATCCCCCTTTTGTCATCTGCCCTCATAAGTTCATGTGTGATCTGCTTGCACCTACAGAACCCTCCTAAATTTTGGGGTATCTCACAAGACCTAGGGGACACTCTTTTTTTATTATTATTAGATAACCGGGCCTACGATCGAATCCTGGATCGTGAAAGCTATATTGCAACCTTCTAACCATCCAGATCATTTGCGATGGACAACACTCTAGCAGTGTTAACGGATCGATAAAAATTTACTTCCTAGCTAGTCAAAATATTAGCGGGGACACCGATGAAAGGAACAATCCACAACTACGATAGCAACGACGACGACGACAAAGTTTACCAGAAGTGCTTGAGGGTCGCGTAAGACATGGACTGTATTCTTCAATTTCATTCTATTATAATCTCCTTCTTAATTGATTATAACCTATTTCTTTTAGAAGTATCTTCAAACTTACGTCTTTGTTTCATTAGCTATATAATAATACATATTATTATTTTTCCGAACCAGCGCTCTAAGAAATCTTTCTAGTATATGTATGACCAAAAGTTACCTTTAATTGATTCTTTTATTTATTTTCTCAATAGAACAATCCGTAATCTATCACAGATACGAGATACGTGTATTTCTTATCCTGTCTTTTAGTATACATCCACGAATAAATTCACGATTCTTTATCACGTTTGCAATTGTTGATCAAAAGCAACCGCCCACGAAACCAAAACAAGCTCGAACACACGCTATGATGACGACCATGTGACGATAAAAAAACGGACCCATCCATCTCTAGCTAATTCTTTCTCCTGATAAGCTGACCTCGTACGTTACACGCAAAAAAAAAACAATTAATTAATTAATTATTAATATTTAATTAGGGCCGTTACTGGGTTTTGGATCCATCCGTCCCTCACGCGCTCCTCGAGACCGCGGTTCGGATCCGTTGTCGGGGTTCTTTGCTTCGACGGAGGGGAGTGTGGGTCCCTGGAGCACATTTGTGGGGCCCCTGCGGAGCACCGACAGAGGAAGAAGATTGGGTGACAGTGGGATTTGTGGGTCCCGCTGTCAGGCGCATATCTGCCGTGCCTGCTTATTATTATTCCTTCCTTGTTCTAGAAATTGGCTTGTTTGTGGGGGCCCAGTTGGTCAGATAATTCTTTGTTTAGTCCTTTCTAGGGTCGATTTTGAAGTGATTAGCAAAACATTTATTATACTTATTAATTTTTTTTTAAAAAAAAATGGGGTTTTGCATATATGTACCCCTTAAATCTTCAGTGCCAACAATTTTTACTCCCAGAATATTTGTTTTTGCAAAATCACCACTAATTTTCTAGCATTGGTTTCCTACCTCCTCCAACTTGACAATATTACCTTCTTTACGTCGCAACGTCAAAACTTTTTATTTTTTAATAATTTCTACTAGACCCGCAATGGTTTTCTTAAAGACTGAACGTGCATGATAGGATTTGAGATTAGTCTTGCAAATATCAATGTTTAGAAATAAATTTTCATGTATGTAGAATTTGAGGGATGTATATGCAGAAACCCCCAAATTAACAAGATTATTGCAGTGGAGACTTGATCAAGTTAATTAGCTCTTGCATCCGATGTTACATTGGTCTCAAATGATTGTATCCTTCTTCCAGATATTTCAAGCGAGATCAAGAATTTTTGTATGTAGAATAGTCAACAATTAGTCCTAAAAACCAATTCAAATTATAGAATTAGCAACAAATAGAAAATGATTTAGAGATGATTGGATCCTAATAAGCATGATTAGCTAGTGAGTCTGAACCACACTTTGACCAAATTACTACTAATTTTAGTTAGTTCACAATAGGCATGATGCATGTTTATTGATCTTTTTCATTTTAGTCGTCTCGCTTACCTCGTGATATCCAAAAATCAAAGTGGGTTTCCGTAAAAAAAAAAAAAAATCACCACCCAAGAACTAAAAAAACATCGATATATAAGATTTAATTAAGATTTTGCCGAAAAGAAGTCTAGACTAATGATATAGATGAACTGTTAGAAACTAGGTAAAGAGTCTCGATAACAAGTAAATTGTCCTATGTTTAATTATCAAGTAAATAATTATAGCAAATATGAAAAATTCAAATCTCATTGTAATCGATTTATATGCTCCATGCTCAGTGATTTTTCTAGGAGTTATAAAGATAAACGTGAGATGAGCTCTAATTAATTTTTCGAGATTTTGGCTCGAGCACGTGCGCGCGCGCGTGCGTGTATGTGAATACGTGGGTGGATTGATCCGAAGGCGATTGGATCGGCGGAACGCTCCGTGTGGAAGGGGCCCACGGAAACGCTGCCGCGCTCACAAAGCGTAGGCGGGCCCCACGACGAGCAGCGGCCCACAGCCCCCTTATGTAAGCCCGCTGTGTGGGCTTTGGCCCTTCCTCGTCGAGCAAACCGAAACGCATCCGACTCCGTCTTGTACGGACAAGAAGCAACTCCTCTCTCTCTCTCTCCACCCTCTTGTTCATTTATTAGAGAGAGAAAGTGAGAAGAGCTCCCAGTTCTCTCTCTACCCTCTCTCTAGCTTTGCTAGCTTGTGTTTGCATGGATGGAAATTTCTAGTCTGCAACAACATCAGGTACTATTAGTACTACTAATTTTTCGTTTTCTACCTGACGTGGGTCTTGATTTTAGTAAACATTAATTAAGGATTTAAGGTTAATTTTCTTCTTAAACTTTTAATTTGATGGAAATTGATGAGATGATTCTTGGCTTTTAAGGGAGAAGTGTACCTCGATTGGTTGATCTCAGTAACCAACTATTATTACGAGGGCCTGGATTTCAGTGGATCGTATTCATCAACTACACTTAATTAATTTCGTTTATGATTAATTTAACTTTCCTAGAATCTCAACAGCACTGTCTTTAGTTGCATTCTTCACAAAAACACTTCTTTAAGCGCGCATTTGGTCAATGTTTTTTTTTTAAATTTCTTAATTATGAGAAATAACAAGGCGTAAGCCTGTAATTAGTGTGTTTCCTTAAAAAAAAAATTTAAGATTTTATTTGACAGAATTCTTCAAATAAAAACAAAGATCGGCCACACGAGGAAATGCTGATTTTTTTTGTATGTGTATTTTCATTCATTTTTATTTCAGTCAAGCTTTAATATTTTCTTTGTAATTTATCAAATTATCATGCATGTAGTATTGCTAAAAATCTCATTTTATTCTCCAGAACTTTTTTCTCTCCATTTTCTTGTAAAAGAGTTATTGCTCTCAGTAGATAATTTCTGTAGCAAGTGCTAATCTCGACTTCAATCGGAAACGTTTGTTTTCCAATATATCAACTGCGGATATCCTAATTTTTGAAGAAATTCCCCAGAATTTTTAATCATATCTAATGATACCGTATCATTAGATTGCGCCTTATTATATGCGTCGACGATTAGAGTTTAATCATATTAATCAATACATATTGATTAATATGTGCATTATTAAAAAATCGTGTTCTACGTACGTAATAGCCAATAATTCGTATAGTAAAGGATCAATTGGTACATTTTTGCATTGATACTTATATTAAACAAAAATATGACTACAATGTTACTTTCCAAAATGACCCAAAGTTTGTTATTTTTACGTTCTCAACGCCCATAGAATCATCGAATATGAGAATTTATACAAGGAATTTCATTGTGAGACCAATTGAGTCCCTTCGATATTCTCTCCTTACGTATTTCTACAGTGTAAATTACATATAATACTCAACATTAGCTCCCTCGACGAATTCAAGAAGGATAAGTACTAATAAACTGAATAGATTTTTCGCACTTCGTCGAAGGATTAATTACATTCCGATAGCCCGAAGCATACGTTGTATGATCACACGGGATACCCTGAAGTTTGCGAATCTACACGAGTAATCCCGACCAGTCTACCAATGAAGTTACATGGGTGACCCCAGAGCCCAAACGAAAAGCAACTCTCGGGGTTACCTGTACTGTTAGTTATTACGATCAGTAACCTCAAAATTAAGACACACAAGCGCATCGGTCATCATCGTGATTATATATACCAATTAACACTACTGGAAAAAAATACTAGTCCGAGGTACCAAATTAACCTGCAGTACATTTTCAGCATTATTCCTGTACGTTTATACATGTAAACCACACGGTAAGCTGACATCTTTCATCGATTACGCTTGTGACAGGCTATGGCTGCCCACCCAGAACCCAACAGCGTCCTCCACCACCCCCAACAAGACCAACGGAAACCCCGTCCTCAGCCGGAGCAGTCCCCGAAATGCCCTCGCTGCGACTCCACCAACACAAAGTTCTGCTACTACAACAACTACAGCCTGTCCCAGCCCCGCTACTTCTGCAAGTCCTGCTGCTGCCGCAAGAACCACAGGAGAAACCCTAACAACCCTAGCTCCTCCGGCAAGCAGATCAGCAGTGTTAATAAGCAAGATGATCAAGAACGGCTCCCGATCCCCGCATTAATGCCTCCTCTCGCGATATTCGACCCCAACGAGCTCTCCTCCTTCAGTATGCTGGCAAACCCTAACCCTAACCCTAACCCTAACCCTAGTAACAATCCAGATGTTGCGGGGTTTCTTGATGTTCTGAGGAACGGGATCAAATACTCGAGCGGGCAGTTTCATGAGTACCGCGGGGATTCATCGGGTGGTGTTAGTGCGGGCCTAATGATGTTCCCTAATTTCGACGGGGGGCTAATTAGTACTGAAACCGCAGCGACCGTAGTTACAACCGCAAGCGGGTCTTTAGATGATAATGTTGGATGTGAGAATAGCATGTGGGATCATGGTCATCATCATCATCATCATCATCACTATCATCATGGCAACTTGGGTGCGCGCGGAGGAGTGGAGTGGGACGCAACAGGGGGCTTCATCATGGCGTGGGATCATCAATAGCTCGCTCATGCATGTAGAGTGTGAGGAGGAGGTCAATGTTGTTCATGTTGTTGTTGTTGTTTCTTAATTTCTGGGTATATGTCTTGAGTCTTTACTTCGAAGAGAAGGGTGTTTGGTGTAGCTGTATTTTCTTGACTTCTGGGATATTGGTTGATATTGACATTTTTTTGTGAGAGGGTGAACATAGATATTCGATAAGCATAGGGTGACATATGAAAATTTGGGATTTCTACGCTCTGTACTGTTATGGTTACGGTGTTTTCCGTCGTCAAAGTACGACTCTTTGCCAGCAACGGACAAGTGTCCCTCTACGTGCACCGCTCAAATCGAATTGACAGTCAGGACCACCAAGAATCCCGACTTAGCCGACTCACCGAGTCGACATCTCCTTTGGTCGACTCGAATGGCGATACTTGTCGGTCCTCTTGTCAAAAACGACTCGCTACGAGCCCACTTGACCAGTTGCTCGACACCTTGTAAGGGTGACTCGAAAGGGGTTACTTCTCGACCAAGGTAAAGGACGACTCAAATCTCGAGCCTCTCCTGCTGACAGCGTGTCGGTGTCACATTAAATGCTTGGCAGACGCTATCATTCCTCTGGCCCTGATAGTCTTCATGACACATCGGACCACGTCGGCATCGTCATGCCCCTAATCACTTCGTATTAAATATCGAGGTGACATCTCCTCCACTCGTTGGTCGACACCTGTAAAGTAGGTGCTGACGTAGCCACCAAGCCATACTCGTTTGCCACCATCCTGTACTCGGCCTAGATTACCATTCTACCCTTTTTCCCACCACTATAAATAGAGGCACTATTCTATATACCAAAGCAAGCAATCTCTGAGAATTCCACCGCACTACACTTTAGAACTCACACAGTTCATCATTTTCCCACTCAAGTCCATCAAGTGACTTGATTGTCGGAGGAACAATGGGGGAACTAGTCCCCATCCTCTCACGAATTGCTATTTGTGCATGTTGAAGCTACTCTACTCAAAATTAGATATGCGAAGAAGTTAGTGGCCCCCTAATCAACCCTACCCCTATTATATTATCTGTTTGATTATTAACATCAACAGGTACTATTTTTTAAATGTTGGGATTGTTGATAGTGTTGCCTTAAGTGGTAGGGAGGTACAAGGAGGGAATGTGGAGTAGAATAGGATGCAATTTTGAGGTGCAATGAAGGATTTTTTTGTGCTTCTAGTTTGGTTGGAGGGGGACTAGTGAAGAAATGTACATGATTTTATTTTTATTTGGTTGGGGGATGGAAATGGTAGGTGAAGTGTGTTAGTCTAAGTGTGTAGACCCAAAGCTGCAATCGAAAAGACGAAGAAAACAGTCAGAAGACTGTGCGGTCGACCGCAGTGTCAGAGCCGGTCGACCGCGTGCACTGCAGGAGACTGAGAAAAAGTTTTCGCTCTGGTCGGTCGACCGGCGTGGCCGCTGCGGTCGACCGCAAATGTGCACAGGACCCTGTAAACAGATTTTTCTCTGGCCGGTCGACCGGCCTTGGCACGGCGGTCGACCGCGAATCGCCCAGACAGTTTCCTGATCTGTTTAGGAATCTGTTTCAACCAGGATTCTATATATACCCCAAACGATTTTAGGGTTTGTACTACATCAAAAAGAGAGCTTTTTGACTGCAAAGAGAGAGAATCTCAGAGAGATTTACCCCTTGTTTGAGAGCTTGTATTTTTCTTCTTCAATTAATAAAAAGATTGTGTGGTGTGGCTCCCGAGGACGTAGGCACGTTGCCGAACTTCGTTAAATCTGTGTGTTCGTCTCTTTTACTATTTTTTACAAGGTTAGATCTTTATTTGTGGTTTATTCCTACTTTCCTACTTTCAACACAAGGTCCGGAAGGGCAAGGGTTCGATTGATTGTTTCGAATTTCCCAAACAACTGGTATCAGAGCTTCGTTCAGCAATTTGTGTGAAAGCCATGGCAGAGGAAAGCAAATCAAAGATTGAGAAGTTCGATGGATCGGATTTCGCCTACTGGAAGTCGCAGATGGAGGACTATCTGTACCAGAAGGACTTGTATCGCCCGCTTCTGGGCAAGGAAAAGGGAAAGAAGACGACGGAGTCAGATGGTGATTGGGAGGTACTGGATAGGAAGGCTCTAGGGCAAATCCGGTTGTCGCTCGCCAAATCAGTAGCCCACAATATTCTGAAGGAGAAGACGACGGTGGGGCTTATGGAAGCGCTCGCGAAGATGTACGAGCAACCGTCGGCAGCAAACAAGGTGCATCTAGTCAAAACTCTTTTCAACCTCAAGATGGCAGAAGGACGGTCCTTCACGATGCACCTCAGCGAGTTCAACACGATTGTTGATCAACTTATCTCCGTGGACATCACGTTCGATGACGAAGTGCAGGCCCTTCTACTACTATCGCAGTTGCCGGATAGTTGGGCAGGTTGTGTGACGGCAATCAGCAATTCGGCGGGGAAAGAGAAGTTGAAGCTGAATGAGGTTGTTAGCATGATTCTATCCGAGGAGGTTAGAAGGAAATCGTCCGAATCAGAAGGTTCAGGTTCAGCCCTAAGTTTCGAGCAGAGAGGCAGAAGCCAGAAGAAAGGGAACCAGAACAGGAATCGGTCGAAATCAGTGAAGAAGAGGCCGAACTCGAAGGTTAGGTCTATCAAAGGGAAGTGTTGGAACTGCGGCCAGGAGGGCCATATGTCTTCGGTCTGTAAAGCACCAAAGAAGGATGCGGGTGAGCAGGAGGCTCATATCGTGCAGGATGCCTTGATCCTTGCTATGGATAGCGATTCTGATTCTTGGGTCATCGACTCAGGAGCTTCTTTCCACGCCACTGCAAATAGGAAACTACTTCAGAACTATGTAGCAGGGGACTTTGGTAAAGTATACTTGGGGGATAATGAACCTTGCAATATTGTTGGAAAGGGCGACGTTCAGATACAGATAAAGGGCTCTAAGTGGAACTTGAAGAACGTGAGACACGTGCCGAAGCTGAAGAGGAATCTTGTTTCGGTGGGACAGCTTGGAGCAGAAGGCTACGTTTCGACATTCACCGGGGATTCGTGGAGGATCTCCAACGGTACGATGGTTGTTGCCAGAGGCAACAAATACGTCACCTTCATCGATGATCACTCGAGGAAGGTGTGGGTTTACTTCATGAAGCACAAGTCAGAGGTGTTCGAGATCTTCAAGAAGTGGAAGGCCATGGTCGAGAACGAGACAGATCTGAAGGTGAAGTGCTTGAGATCAGATAATGGTGGAGAATACGAGCTGGAGGAGTTCAAGAGGTTTTGTGCTACGAATGAGATTCGTTTAGAGAGGACTACTCCAGGGACGCCGCAACAGAACGGCATTACAGAGAGGATGAACAGGACCTTGACAGAGCGTGCGCGGAGCATGCGATTACATGCA